ATATATATATTATAGAGAATATTACATTATTAAATAAATAATGCATATCAAATATATATTCTATAATGAAACAAACAATGCATATAACATGTATATTATAAATATATAATTGACATATATATATTATATATATATATATATATATATTATACATCATCGCTGGGTGTGGATAATAAAGAGACAACAGAGACAGACAAAAGTTTTAGGGTTTTGTTTCTCTTGTATTTTAAATAAACAACAAAACACCAAAAACTGAGGAGTTTGCTGCTGCTGCTGCGGCTGCTGCTGCTGCTGCTGCTGCTGCTGATTCGAAGCAGCAGCAAATAAAAGCAGCACTTGCATGCATGCATCAGCTGGATCTGCTCCTCCTGCTGCTGCTGCTGCTGTTGCTGCTGCTTCCGTTGCTGCTGCTGCTGCTGCAGCATTAGTTTTGTTTAATCTTTGAAGCGTATATACACCTCAACACCGAAAGGGAAGCTGGGGTCCGTCAGAATGAGCGGAGAATTCTCAATAATTAATTTTTTATCAATTAATTCTCTGCATGCAAAATAAATAATTAATAAAATAAATAATTAATAAAATAAATAATTAATAAAATAAATAATTAATATAATACAATAAATAATATAATACAATAAATAATTAGTATAATACAATAAATAATTAATATAGTACAATAAACAATTAATATAATAAAATAAATAATTAATATAATGAAATAAAACAAATAAAATAAAGCAAATAAAACAAAATAAATAAAACAAACAAAACAAATAAAACAAACAAACTAAACAAAATAAATAAATATAATTAAAACAAATAAATAAAACAAATAAATAAAGCAAATAAAACAAATAAAATAAACAAACAAAACACAAAATATAAAAACAAACGAACAAAAAAAGCAAATAAAATAAACAAAATAAAATAAATAAAATAAATAAACACAAATAAACAAAACAAATAAATAAATTAAATAAACAAATAAACAAATAAAGTAAATAAAATAAATAAAATAAATAAAAATAAAAGAGTACTCACTGTAAGGTTAGGTTTAACTTCCACTGGTGCTGCTCGCGAAGAGAGGCGGGATTACTGACAACGACAAAATCCTAAGAACAAAATAAATAAATAAATTAATTAATTAATTAATTAATTAATTAAATAAATAAAAAATAAAATAAATAATAACTGGCTCCCTGCTCTGTGCTCGGCTTTTGTCTGTCTCTGTCTCATTTGCTGCAACTTCTCTCTCTCTCTCCTCAAAGCAATAAACCCTAAACCCTAAACCCTAAACCCTAAACCCTAAACCCTAAACCCTAAACCCTAAACTGTCAATCGTAAATCGAAGGCCCATGACGCCCCGCCAGAAACCCTAAACCCTAAACCCTAAATAACCCTAAATAACCCTAAACCCTAAACCCTAGACGCTAGATTCAAGGCCAATGACGCCAAGCCCATCAAACCCTAAACCCTCGTAAACCCTAGTAAACCCTAAACCCTCGTAAACCCTAAACCCTGATTGATAAATGCTTTACTTTGTTCCCTCTGATTGAGGGTTTATTTATATGAAGACGTTCATTCAAAACCTGCAGCAGCTGCAGCAATAACCATGTCCTCTCTGCGACCACTTCCACGCGCTGCTGGCTGCACACCAAGCATGCCTGCACGCAAACCCTAAACCCTAAACCCTAAACCCTAAATAACCCTAAACCCTAAACCCTAAACCCTAAACAACTCTAAACCCTAAATAGCCCTAAATAACCCTAAACCCTAAATAACCCTAAACCCTAAACAACTCTAAACCTTAAACCCTAAATAACCCTAAACCCTAAATAACCCTAAACCCTAAACAACTCTAAACTCTAAACCCTAAACCCTAAATAACCCTAAACCCTAAATAACCCTAAACCCTCAGCCTTCCTATACCTATCAGCCCTAAACTCTAATCTGTAAACTCTAAACCCTAAATAACCCTAAACCCTAAATAACCCTAAACCATGCTAAACCAAGAAACCCTAAACCCTAAACCCTAAACCCTAAACCCTAAACCCTAGACTATAAACCGTGCAGGCTAAGCTATCTCATTGCTTAAAGACAGTCCAAGCAAGGCAGTGGCTTTGTCTCTTTAGGGTTTAGGGCTTATTAGGGTTTAATAAGGCTTATAAGGGTTTACTAGGGTTTACTACTGAATGAGGGTTTACGATTTAATTAGGGTTTAGGGTTTAGGAGGGTTTAAGAGGGCTAATGAGGGTGATTGGGGTGTTCAGGACTTGATTAGGGTTTAGGGTTTAGGGTTTAGGGTTTAGGGTTTACAGGGTTTGTTTGCAAAGAAAAAGTATGCATATACGCCTGAGACTCTCCCGAGTACATGATATAATTTTCTAACTCGTTGCTGCTGCTGTCTGCTTCGCTGCAGCAGCAAAACGTAATAAATCTGAACGCCTCCTGCACCAAGAGAGAAGCTATGACTGCGTTTGTGCAGGAGAACGCAGGGATTGTACGCTGTGTACAGACACCAGCAGCAGCAGCACCAGCAGCAGCAGCAGCAGAGGGAGCAGGATATGTAGAAAGCACGAAAAATAAGAAGGAATAGCAGATCCAGCAACAGCAACAGCAGCAACAGCAGCAACAGCAACATCAGCAACACCAGCAACAGCAGCAGCAACAGCAGCAGCAGCAGCAACAGCAACATCAGCAGCAACAGCAACAGCAACATCAGCAGCAACAGCAACAGCAGCAACAGCAGCATCATCATCATCATCAGTAACAGCACCAGCAGCAACAGCAGCAGCAACAGCAGCAGCAGCAGCAGCAGCAGCAGCAGCA